TATGGGAAAATTAAAACCCATTTTGTCCCTATTCTCAAGAATCACTGATTTATAAAAGTCCAGGATTTAATTCCATTGCATTTAACAAAAAGCCAAAACATTCTTTAGATGGGAATTAAGAAATAATCATGTGTTAAATTACTGATAAAAGGGGAAATATTACCAACATCACTGATTGTGGTATAAGAATTTGATTTGATGTCCAGATTGTGCAGACCTGCTGTCAAGAGATTCAGATTCTATTCACCACAGATTTGGAACAAACTTCCAGAAAACTGTAAAACAGCTGAAACACTGGGTGCCTTTAAATCTCAACTTAAAACCACCTGTTTAGAGTTGCTTATGGCTAAATTAGGGTTAGAGTGTGGGTTTTAATGTCTTTAATGTTTTTATCTTGACTTTTTATCTACTTTATTAATTTCTTTTTCTTCCATTTTATATCTCTTTCAATTTCTCACTGTTTATTCAATGTTACATGACTGTTTCTGTTTTTAATTATGTAAAGCACTTTGAAATGCCTTGCTGCTGCAATGTGCTATACAAATAAAATTTGATTTGAAGAGATATGCATCTTTACAACCATTCTAACTAAAATGTTTCACAGTTGAAGCTACTTCAAATTGGGCATGTATGATTTTTATTAACCCTTTTTTTGTAGAGCATGTGGTTAATTAAATAAATGTTGGTCTGATCCCTTATTGTGTGAAAATGATATAAATAATTACTACTGAAATGTACCCAAAGTGTTATCTAAATTGTTTCTAGTTTCTTTTGGTTTTTCTGAACTGTTGACATTAGATTGTCTTTGCTCAAAAAGTTTGGTTAAATTTACCCAAACAAAATGAATGCAAAGTTTGGTCAAGTTTCATTATCTCCTGACAGTATAATATTAAACAGATAATCTGTGATTTACCACTCAGTCAGAAATGACCAATCAGAGCCAGGAGGATTTCAGCAACGTCAATCATTCTAGTGTATACAGCGCTCACAAACTCCTTCTTGCTCTTTCCTTGCCTGCAACTGGTTCACCATAACACAGCCTGCCACGAATGCTAAGGTCAGTTACCATGGTTACCAATGACAGTGGAATGTTATGATGTCAGCCGTTAGCACATTGAGCAGCACGTACATTAGCTGATTGGCAGTGCTAAGACATTACTACTTTTTTTGCAGATCGCAGTAGCAGCACAAAGAGGAGGTGGAGGTCACATATACTGTCATGACATGGTGACAGTTTTAACAAAAATATTTTTATAAAAGCTACATACTGCAGCTTTAATTGTACTTCACATTTATACAGGTTTTTGTGTTTTATCACTATGTGAAATCCCAATAAAATACAATGAAGTCTGCAGCTGGAATGTGACAAAAGGTCACAAAATTAGCAAAGAATTAAATCAGGGCTGACGCCACTAAAAAGCAGTCCCACTGAAGTCCTGGAGCTTAGAGATGTGAATCTTTTTTTCCTTTTGATCCGTAGACGCCATCATCCTTTTCATGTCCTAAACAATAATTAAACTTTGCACACTCTGAAGAAGACAAGCTGTGTTTTTCTTTTGCTAAGTGCCACAGCAGGGGTCAAAAAGCGAAAAAGCTCTTTTCTCATCTGCAAACAGAGGATAAGAGATGCAGTGTCCCCCCAAAATGAGGTCTGCAATCCCTGTATTTCGAATTACGTCCTAATCTTTTTCTCCAGCTCCTCTGATTGCTCCACTTGGAAGAGAGCAGAAAAGACAAAACGGGAGACTGAAACTGATCCAGAATCCAAGGCAGTGTCTGCCATTTTGTGGCATATTTGGCCTAAAAAAGAAGGTAAAATGATGTTCAGAATAATCTGCAATGAGCGCAATTATAGTGACCTCAATAAAGTGACAGGACAGTGAAAGATTTTGCTGTGAAACGTGTTGAACTGGATCAGATTTCCTTGTGCGTCACAATCCACTGTAGCTTTAGCAGCAGGATGTAATCCTGTTAGACATAACACGACACAACAAGCCCCGTTTTATTTATTACTATTTTTTTAGGTGAAGCGGAGGTTTCCATGCACCCTCTGTGCTGGATTACTAATTGATCATGTTTTACATTGCAAATGAGTCATTCATATTAGTGTTGGCTCTCACTCAAAGGGAGGGTGCAGTGGTCTTATCCAGCCACTGCAGGAATTGATTAGCGTTGCACAGAGAGTGAGTCTTGGCAGCATCAGACACAAGCATGCAAATTCGAGTGAATACTGGAGGATAGTGAGGAGGATGTTTGTTTGTCTCGTGACGGGGATTTCCGACGGGAATGCTTCTTCAGGACGTCAAACGGAGACCAGCCTGATCGGGAGAAAACGTTCCACCTCCTGTTCAGTGTGTGGCAGTGCTGTCTGCCGAGCTGCTTCTGCAGATTATTTCATTATGGGAAGAATGTCAGCCTTGATGCAAGAGAAGATGGTGGAAGGTTATTTTCATTTTTCATTCAGTTTTCCTGCATCATTATAATGGCCTAAAGCTCCAGGCGCCCGTCACGCCGTCAGCATGTTGTTTCGCTGCAGTGATATGTGTGGTGCTCTCTTGGCAGGTTGTGTTTGTCTGCTCACAGGCTGCAGTCATTAGTCCTGGAGAGGGAGCTGAGCTCTGGCTGTAGTGGATCTAAAAGTTTCCATGACACCTCAATAAACGCTTCCTTGTTAGTGTGAGTCCATGGTACCGAGTGCAAGGGTTTGTCACTGATGCATTCCAATAATACGTAACTTAAAGTTGTCCTATTTAAAGTTTTAAATAAAAAACAACAACAAAAAACTATAACATAAACCCTAAAAATAACAATTGCTTGTCTTTTCTTTGTATGCAGGAGCCCAGAATCAACTTCTCTGCTTGGCCTTACCTCCTTGCCTCAGCGTTTATAACCTCTTCTCTATTGTTGCTGATGAATCAGCAGGGCAATAATTCAAAACCTGTCCAACCTGTAAGGCATCTTTCCAGTTAATATAGTTGGAGAAGTAACGATTTCAACATGGCAACAACAAAGTTATTAACTTTCTCTCCTCTCACACCTGCAACCCGTTTGTAATCAGCCACCTGTTCCTTGTTCAGTAATCAACCTCCTCTGTATACAAACATCTCATTCTCATGTAGCAGGATGAAGCCTGCCCCAAGATTGAGGACCCTTGGCCCCTAATTTGGTAATTAGGGGCCAGGGGTCCCATGAGGAGGTCCTCATGGGTGTGGCGTATAAAGGGAAACTCTCACCTGTTTTCTTCATGCCTACATTTGGTCATCCTGCAGGGGGAAGGTTGTTTGGGTCACTTGCAGTGGCCATAACTCCGTCAGTAAGTAACGTTTCTCCTCTTGTATAAGATCTGCAATTTCAGTGGTTGATTCAAATAGTTTAAATTTAGAAACTGCCTGTAGTCTCCTGTTTGTTACTGTGGTGTAGCTGTAATCTACCTCCCAGTGCAGTTTAGCAACATAAAACGAGTATGTATTTTATCGCACCCATGCAGCTCCCATAGCACACAAAATGACACCTATTTATAGAATAGAAAGTACTGGCAAGTGGATCCTCCTGCTGTTGGGCTGGAAGGGGCTCCCTGGTCGGGGTGGAGTCATCCAGCTCTGACATAAAGCTGCTGCTGTGTGAGTTACTGGTGTTGGGATTTCTTAAGGCAGGGCTGGCCCAAGGCATTAGCAAACTAAGCAGCCGCTAACCCTAACCCACCTCCTTATGGTTTGAATACGTTATATTTGCAATTTTTTTTAACAGATGAACATGGCTCCTTAAGGCATCTAGAAAAATGTCTTTAAATGTAAGTAATATGTCACACCAGAAAGCAGTGTCTCTGAGGTGTTGTCTTAGAATACAAATATGCCTCTTGCTGTATTATTGTAGATTATGATGTTCCATTGTTTTGGCATAGTAAACTTCTGAAATTCCTAAAGAAATTCTCATCATTTTGTGTGTGTCTATATATCCTGGCTGCCCAGGAACAGGCCCTAAACACCAGAGCAATAGAGGCTCAGATCTACCAC